TTTTCAACTTGAGGTGGATTATTTTTCAAGACTCGACCAAGTTTATTCCACAAAGTGGTTTCTCGACCCTCAGATTTTCAGGTTGCCATGCAATCAGTGAGGTACTCCTCATCTGGATCCTTTTGACACTTTACTCCATCACCAAGTTACCTCTTTTTTGGTCTTTGGATCATCATCCTCAGACCCTGGCAGTGGATTTTCCCAGTCAGAACTGGACCAGTCATTTCCTTTCAGATTTGTTGACCTTCTCATCATGTGGTTTTTCCTACTCAAAACTTTGTCAGCTCGTGAGGGTCATTCTCCCTTCTCACCATTTTATCTTTCATTCATTTCTCACCTTTATTTTTTGCTCTTCATTGTTCTATTGCCCACATGGCCTCCTTTAGTGATTCCATGGCACTGTTCATCTGTACATGATCTTTCTTCTTCTACCCTTACAACTTGGGAATGTCAGCTGCTTCGTTTGGTCTATTCCTTCCTGTCTTTATCTTCCTGAATTCTATTCCAGGTGTCTTTGCTTAAGATTGGGCACCTTCCCTTTTTCCTGGAGTCTCACCTTCATTGTCCATTGGAGGAAACACTTCAGTCAAGCATGTTGCCTGCTTCTCATGTGTTCATCTCCCACTATCTTCATTGGGTATCTGTGTTCTTCCTTGTTGGGATACCACCTTCCGCCTGTTTCCTTCCTTTAAACTTTGTTGCGGCTGTAAGTTATCTTTTCTATATATATTTTTCCTTCCAGGGGCATGTCCCACTTAGGATTTGGATCTTGCTCAGTAGCAAGCATTGCCTGTCCAGGTATGCTTTCTATATCTTAAATCTGCACTGTATGGCCAAGATGAAATAATAATAATAATAATAATAAAAACTATACTTATGGCCAGTAATGCACACTGACTAGATAGGGTGTTTCACAAGATTGCCAATAGGTTTTCCACACTATATTTTTGCTTCATTAACTCTTTCAGCATGGGCTTGGTCCCAGAGACCAACTTTGTAACCATTTTGGGCTTGTTATAGTTTTCATGCTATAACTTTTAAATTATAAGTGTATGTTAACGAAATCTGGCAGATTATAATTAAACAATACAATGGTTTCATATGCAAAATATCAAATTTTTTTGTTAAGTCTTAAGGTTTGTAAAGCAATGTTTTTCTCTTGTCTTTTTCTTTTTGCATGTTGCCTATCCAACATGCAAAGTAATTTTCATTTTAAGATTAAAAATTCTTGTATGTATCAGAAAAGTTTTAAATTTCACATGCGAAATCTTTATAATGTTCAGATAGTTATCGAACATTTCTTAAGAAAAAAACTTTATATTTTATCCATTATTTTCAGAAACAAATCTCTGTACGAGTTCAGTAGATTTGACCAATTTCATAATCGCCATAAAAAATTAGGAAATAAATATAAATTATGCCTTTCATTCTGGAATGACAACAAATTATAACACAAAAACATAAATGTTTAGACTAAATATCTTAAATTTCATAACATTATATATTTATTATTTGTATTATACTGACCTTTTAGCCATGCATGGCTAACAGTACAGAAGTTGCAATGATGCGACACACGTGCACTCATATTACTATATCCAATAATATAAAACTACCTTTAGTCTTTACAAAGTGATCTGTCTTTCGTGTGTTTTAGTAAACTGTTATTTTGTAAAATACAGTCACATTTCAATTATTATACATTATATATGTTACTGCTCTTTAGAATTAAGTTCTTAAACTTATTTTTTCTTAAAATATAAAACAGTAGATAAAGAATTTTCCAAAATATGGATCAAATCACTAGCTTTTTTTAATTATTTAAAAAGCAAACACTCTTACATAATTTACACACAAGGTTAAACATAACATTTCTTTTCTGGACATATCTATCCATAAAACTGGAATGGGTTTTTGTCATATGTTTACATAATAGTACCAACACTGGTTTATATTTAATTTTGCAATTTTTCTACCTGTTCAATTTAAAAGGTTATTTGTAACCCTTGTTACTAGAACCTTTATATTTATTGGTAACACAGAATACATTCTTTCTGAATTGGACCATATTAAGATTATTCTTTCAAAAAATTAATTTTCCAAAAGTTTTATTACTTTGACAAGTCTTTCTACACTGAGTAAACTTAGGTATACTGAACTTAAAGATTTTGTATTATCCACTATTGAAAATAAAAACCTATTGTGATGATGATTCTTTTAATGTATGAAATCAACTCGGAGATATTGTTCATGCTTTTCCCTGCAACTTTCTGTTCATATTATTTTTAGAAGTGATATTTTACTGAAAAATCTTTTCAGCTTTAAAGACAGAATATACAAACTATGTTATTCAAATATTTGTTTACTCTTTCACCTGTAGCCAGTATAAATGCTCATACATTGAAATCACAACTTGACATTTTAAGTAACGCATTGCTGAAACAGGAAGGTCAACAAAATCTTGCTACACACCTTATATGAGTGTCTGAACAGTGATTTAAGAAATGTTTTCCTATTTCTTCACAAAAAATTTACAAACTTATTCAGTGCATCTGGTGGGTGAGTTAAACAGGGAGGTATGATCTGTGTTGTACAAGGTTCAGGTCTCAAAGTAAATGCTGGGATGGAGTTTTATGGAATGTCTTTCCAAATCCTCACAAGATAAATATTTATAAAGGTAAATATTTATTACTGATTTCAGATTAGTTTTGTGGAGTTGAAGTATGTAAATAATGTTGGCTAGCACACTTTTACAGTAGTTTTCTATTTTGAGTGGGCAGTAATGAAACAAGAATGGTAGGGATGCTCATTATTATTCATTAAAATAAAATCAGGTTCAATGGTACCATTGAAAGGTCTGGGAGAGTTTGTCAAGAACTCATCCCTATAATATATAATATTCAGAAAATCACCTCAAATTCTGTTTGTTTGGTTACTGTGCAGTTAGTGTTGATTTCCACGATGAGTTTGTATGAAGAATTATTTAACAAAAGCTGAAGATTTAGTGAGGAATTTTGTTTGAACTCAGTCATGAACTATATCAAAAAAATTGTCCTTAGACAGCTTAACCTGACATTAGGTGAGGAATTTTGTTGAAATTCAGTAATTGAATAATTTATTTGAAAACATTTTTAAAGTAGCCTATCCAGAAACATTGGATAAAGTAATATGTTGAAAACGAAACCTTAACTCATCTTTATAAATATATTTTTAATTTCAATGGACCTGAAATACTGAGCTAGAGCCTTTGTGCAATTGAGTCACTTATTCATCTCTCAAAATATTTCTTTTATTTATCTGGATCTGAAACAGTGCTTGAAGTATTGTATTGAGATTCAACCACTGACTTGTATCAGATTTTTTTTTTTTTACTTAGGTCTAACACACAGAATAAAGAATTGTATCAAATTACATAACACACGAGTTTCTCACAAGTATACCTTGTGAAGAATTTTCATTACTATCCTTTTTTTTTCATTATCTTACCTAATCTAATCTTATTTAATTTAACAAGTTTCTAATTTTTACATTTTAATTACTTTTATAATATTAAAGAATACACATGAAAAACAAGAAATATTATACTTACCTGGGTCCTCTTGTTTTTTTGCTGTTTACTGTCTGAAACTTCAGTCTACTTTTTATACTAATGGTATTACTACCCTAAATAATTTTTGTTTAATTAAATACTGCTCCTAAGAACACTGAATAAATAACACACAAAACAAACAGTTTCCTATAACTTTCATAATTTTTCTGGCTTTCTAACTGCATTATAAGAGCTTTTAAAAATTATCTGTACAGAATAAATGTAGCATGATATGTCATTTGAAGGATTAAAACTTGGGTCTTCTATTGGTTATAAGTAATATAGTATAAAATGTCAAAGAGAACTATAGGCAATTTGTGAAAGAGAGGGTGTGGTAAGTGGGTCTGATTTTTTAGTTTATGGCTTTATGAACAAATAAGGTTTAAGGCTGTAAAAATTATGTTTAGGAGGGGTGGTAAATAAATTAAAGAAGAGGGAAGACGTGAACACAAATGTCAGAATTCTCATACTAGAGGAGATTGAGGATTTTTTAATTATCTCCTTATAAAATTAAGAATTTAAAATGTATAAAAATATTAAAATTTGATTTACTACAATTTGATGCCAAGTTTATTTGTGTACAATTATAATAAAGTGGTTTAATTAAATTCTGAATCTAACTAAAAAGTCATGATACGTGCACTTTTACGTACTTGTAGTGAGAGGGTTAAACAGCAATTTGTGGATGAAAATCAGTGGGTAAAATAGAAGCTAATGAGTTGCATTCAAAAGTTTTTTATGAACAACAGAATGTCTCACTTTGTCCCCTGAATAAGAAGATAAGTTTTAAAAGTCAAATATATCATACAGACAATAATAGTTCAAATGAATATAACATATTTCTTTTCATTTTTCATAATTACATGTAAAATGGACATTCTTTTCTGAATATTGCTTTATTGTGGAAGGTATGAAAGTACAATGCAACACTCTGTAAGCTGTCATTTGCCTACTTCATTATTGTTTTGTTAACATGGGTATGATTCTCATGCTTATATTAAGAGTAAGAATTTTTAAATGAAGAATATCTTAAAACTTAGAAAGAATAACAAAAAGAAAATGATGAATAACAGAATTATGAACATTCCTAGAATTGAAAAAGGAGGAATATCTGAAGCTATATATTTTATCACAAGTCTGTTCAAAGGTTATTTACAAATGACAACAGCTCAAGAAAATATTATTTTCATATTTCTGAAAGTATTGCCTTGTGAGGAGAAATTGTAAAAATAAATAAATCAAATCTAATTTGATTCAATATAACAAAATAGAACATAGTATTAAATTTCTTTCTTCTAAAATAGTGTACTTGACCATGGTTGGTCTTAGCTTTAATTTGTAATTGTAGTGATTCTTTTGAAAATGAGAAATGTTTTTTCATACTTTCAAAACTTTTTGTGTTGCTCTTTAGGCAAAACACAAGGAAAATGGAACACTTTCTGCTGCCAAAATTTGTGAGCTGAAAGGAGAAGATGACCTGGATGATTTTACAGTAGAAATTGATATCCTCACCGAATTTAAACATCCAAACATAGTGTCACTACAGGAAGCTTTCTTTTATGAGGGAGATTTATGGGTAAAGTTACTGTATATACTGTAGGTACTGTTTACAACTATTGTTGCATTTTGAAGTACTGGATCTAAAAGTTTTAAAACCATTCATTTAATAGTTTGACTTAAACATGGTAAGTAATATTTTGGGAAGAGGGGCTTTAATTGAATGTATATGGAGAGGAGTATACTGGAGAGGGAATATTGACTTTAATTCCAAATTGTGTATCTACACAAAATGTGGTATGTTTTTAGTAAATTTACAACTGTTGTACACAGAAAATCAGATTACTTACAAAAGTATTTGTACTCAAGGTAAGTCTGTGTATTGATGACATAAGTCGTCTGTCTCAGACTTTGACAAGTCAAAGTGCGAGGTGATGTTCATGTGAAGAATAATTATACTCTGTCTGTTTTATTCTTTGCATATTACATTTGTACAACCTATAGAACCTGCAACATGCCTATCTACAATTTGTTCAGTATCCATATGTATTGTATATCTGCCATGAACTTGCTAAATAACCAATACAGGGTGAAATGAATGGTTTATAATTCTTACATAAAAAATATAATACTTTGTTGATTGTCACTCTGTAAAATGTTGTGGCATGTGCACTTTGACCTCTACCCATGTGTATATGATTAACAGTTTTTTTTAATATTTTTATGGGCAGACTAAATTTGGTTTTATTTGATATGTCCTGGAATCTGAGAATATGTTCTAATTATAGTATTCATAAAAGAGATACATAGCTTCTTTACTAGTTATAACTATTTTGTGCAGTAAAGAACATGACATCACAGACAGAAAAGGACCATTTGGTCCTTCATGGCTGTCCTTGTATACCCAACAACACTAAGAAAAATTATAAAACTAAATCACTCTGTTCAGATAAATTTTTGACATAATGATTATTTTACTTCTTGAAATAAGCTACAATGCTGAAAACTTGCATATATTTAGGTTTCAGTGACTTTTTTAGTTGTCCATCATCTGATATTTGGACACTGTTTTGTTGTGTTTACCAGGTGCTTGTGCTTCTTATTTCTGTATTAAAGCCCTATTAAGGACCACCTGAGGCATTTACAGGATAAATTGAATGTAGAAAATGTTTTTTGATGTTGATAGATAAAATTAGACTGGTGTAATTTTTAGTTCAACAGTAATCCTTTCTTACAACTGATAACAGTGGGGAAACAAAAAAATTTTTTTCTCTGCTACTTGAAAAAATGCAACTGTTTCTGAGTAATTTGACAATGCTTATTCTAAAAATTATGTTGAAAATTACTGATCACCTCTAGTTTTTGAGTTAGGATAGATTAATTCAAAATATTCTTATATATCATGAAATTACCTTTTTTTTTGATAATTATTTATTCATTGAAAATTGCATTTAAGAATGTTAAAAAACAATACACAGTAGTAATACCAGTTTTAAAAAAGCAATGAGTATAATAAGATAATATATCCAAAATGCATTTTGAATATTTTCAAAAACTTTTATCATGGTATTATTTTTGTTACAAAATATCTGCTTGACTTGTGCTCTTTTGTGTATATTCTCAGTTTCACTCTGTAAGAACAAACAGTAATCTCCCATCATTGCAGGATTCCATCGTTCTCGACATTGCTGTTCCATTGTAGAAATATTTTGGTGGAGGTGCTCACCATGCTTATCGCTCACTGCACTTAGATCATTTGGAAAGAAGTCTAAATGGTAGTGTAAGAAGTGCATCTTAGTGATATCCTAGACCCCATTTTTCTGTATCATAGCATAGTTTTCATTTCTCTGATTCCCTGAGACATTTTTTGACAACCAGTTTGAATGATTTCCAGGCAGCAAGTTCTTTCTTTTTCTAAAATTATCATCCATCAACACTTTCTGAATCTGTGGCCCAACAGAGATACCTCCTTTCATTTTTGCTTCACTGATTTTTGGAAACTTGTCAAACAGATATCGGACACAATTACCATCTTTATTCATTCCTTTTACAAAATTCTTCATGAGTCCCAGTTTAATATGAAGTGGGAGCAGAAACACATTTTGAGGATTCACTAAAGGTTGATACTTGATATTCTGTTTCCCTAGTATGTAATTCTCTCTCTCTCACTGGCCATTCCTTGTATTTGAAATGATTTTTATCATCTCAGCTGTCCCAGAGACACAAAAAGCAACAACATTTGGTATACCCACTCTGCAGGCCTAGCTGGAGTACAATAACTTTTAGATCACCACATATGTTCCACCTATGGTGGTCATATTTGATTGCTTCAAGTATAATCTGTATGCTTTTAAGTTTTTTTCATGTTCACAGCATGAGCAACAGGAATTGATAACTTTCAGACTAACTTTAGATGAGTAAAAAAAAAGTCTCCATTTTTGAGGATGTGTTTGGTACCAAATTCTTCCATTAGTGCATCAACATTTGTACAGAAACTCAAAGTATGTTGCATGCTGTAGTGAGAAGCGAGACATTGATGGCAACCTTGGTAAATTGAAACTCTTGTTTCTGGAACTAATAAATTCCATTGCTGTAAATGAGAACCAAGAAGTTCCCCATGCTGCTTTGATAGAGAAGTCATGAATCAGATCATTTAGCTCTTGTTGTGTGATCAGAGAGGTGGTTTTTGTTGAGGTGCTGCAGGAATAGAATTAGTAGATAAGGATGAAGATGATTCATTGTCTTCTTTGCAGGATAACTCTTCTGTTTCCTAATTCACTGGTGGATGTGGTACTGAAAGACCATCCCCATGAGGTACTGTTTTCATTGCAGATGCAATATCTGAATATTAAATGTTTTGTTTGGTTTTGCCTGAATATCCAGAATCATTAGTTGTGCAAAAATAACAGTCAGTTAGATGATCTTTGGGCTCAGGTCATATCATGGGAACAGCAAATGTCATACTTGCTCTCTTCTTATTTAGCCATCGTGTCAAGCTAGATGTGTAAACTGTACAACAAACATGTGATGCCCAATGTTTTTCTTGGCCACTAATTTTACACCCAAAATAGTGGTATTAAGCCATCTTTATCTTGTGTGTGATGTTTTCTTTTGTGAAACTGTGATATATTTTCCATAAATGTAACAGAAACTGTTTGGGTGATTTTTGCATTTTACTTGAACTGGAGGTACCAGCATTTCAAATGATTTTCTAAAAAATATAAAAGTATTAATGTATACAGAATTAGAGTTTAAAAGATTTTGAAAAACAAAGTTTTGCAGAAATTGATTATATCACAGGTATGATGTGATGAAGGAGGTCAGACTTTGTTTCGACTATGCATGAAGTGAGGTGAATTGACCTATTGAGTGAGAGGCAACCGAGAGAGAGAGAGGCATGTGACTCCACCTTTTTTGTGCTCAGTTGAGGGACTTCTTGAATGTTCTAGCAAACTTAGCATATTAGGGTTTTCATGATTCTTAATTAGAGTAGGTGAGTGTGGAAATGAAGCAAAAGTGATACAAAATTTCCACATGATTCTATTGTACTGTGTTGATTGCATGGTATTTCACATAGTGCTGATAAAATATTGAGTTGGTACAATAGCTCAAAATCTAGAGGTATTGGGCAAATTCTGACTACTCTTTTGAAATCAGCACCATCAAATTACTCCTATTCACTTGAGTTTTCTCCATAAGTAAATTTTTTGTTGTCCACTGATTTTTCTTAAACTTTCATCATATCATTCTGTTGTCTTCAGACCACAGCACAAAGAAATTGGAGGTTTTTATCCTGTTGGTTCTTCACAATACCTAGTAAACATCAATAAGGTCACCTTTTATCCTTCCTTTCTTAAGAGAAAATAAGTTAAGAGATTTTAATCTATCACCTTAAGATAACCCTTCAATTTCAGGTATCATCCTAGTATCCCTTTTCTAAACTTTTTCCAATAGGTTAGTATCCTTTCTTATATGAGAAGACCAAAACTGGACACAGTAATCCAAGTGATGCCTGACTAGTGATTTGTATAAAGAGATAATTACCTTGTTTGATTTATTATTAATCAAAAAATTCTATTAAATTTACTACTAGCAATGGAACACTACCTCAATAGATTGAATGATAGATCTGTTGTCAGGCCAAAATCATTTTCTTCAGTCACACTATTGAGTGGATTCCTAACTATATTAAACATGTGACACCTTATCTATATGGCACCTTATCAAAACTTTTTAAAGTACATGAAACTCACACCCTTTAAATTGTTCAGGTAACAAGTAACATCCTCAAAACAGATTGGTAAACAAGATTTCCTTTTAATGAATGTCTTTTTTATTTTGTTATATTTTATTAAATGATCTTGAAGAACTTCTGTTATCAGACTGTCTACTGTACAATTTTTACCACTACATAAATAAATAAAAATAACTGGTCTATAATTTCCATGGCATTCTTATCACAGCATTTAAAACTAGGAGTAACACTAGCAACTCTCCAATCCTTTAGTACCTGTCCACTGTCCATTGATTTAACAAAAATGATAAAGAGAGAGAGAGAGAGATGCTCACAGAACTGACCTTTGACCTTTTGGTGTCGCATCAACTTGCATTTTGTAGCACAGTTTTATTCTGCAGATACATCTCATTTCTATCCAGAGATAGAGAGGAAGAAACTATGAGTCCACTAAACTCATGTCTGTATTACTTCTTTATGGATAAAATACAGTTAATAATGAATAGGTATAACTAATGATTTTTAGTGCCCTTTTTTTACCATTCGAATACTTCTTTTATCAAGCCTTTTACTCTAACTTCATGTCTATTCCATTTCTTATTTTGTCCAACAAACCTCTTTTTTTGCTCCATCTTTAATACTTTTCCATTCATCTTCTATTATCTCCAACTGATTTTCTTCATTCTTTGCTAAATCCACATCTCAAAATACAATGAACTTAAATCTTAGTATATGTCTGTTCTAGCACCAATTATTAACTTTAATGACATAGGTGTGTTAGTAATGATGTATTTAAAACAGTGTTAAGTAAATAACCCTTAAAAATATCTTTCAAAGTTAACATAAAATTCAAGGACAACAAGGGACTTTTTGGGTCATCTGGGCTGATCTGTCTACTAAATTAAACTAAATCCTAAAAAACAATTCAAAGTCAGCCCTTATAATTCAAATATTTCTTTCCCTTAAACTCCTTTAAATTAACTCTATCCTCCACATCAAAGGCAACCCATTCCAAAGACCAACTACAATGTAAGAAAAATAAAGCTATTTTAGCTGAAGTTGATTCCTATGCTGCCAAAATGTTTATTTGGGTCCCCTTTTCTTACCATTCTCACCAATAAAACTGAAAAGAAAAAAAAAGATGATGCATCTATACAGTCAACTCCCTTAACAATCTTTAATGACTCAGTCAGATTCCTCTGACTCTTCTTTTTAGAAAAGAATAGAAAAAAAGTCAGAGATTTTATCCTGATATGATAACTTTTCTCTCTCATTTATTATCCTAGTAGCTCTTCTTTGAACCTTTTCCAGCAATTCAGTGTTTTTTCTGAGGAAAGAAGCCCAAGAAATTGAAATGTAATGTTATATTTCTTGTAGATGTTAATAGAGTTCTGTGAGGGAGGAGCTTTGGATACTATCATGATGGACTTGGAAAAACCGTTGACTGAGCAACAAATCCGATATGTGTGCCGGGAGGTGTGTATTGGTTTGGACTTCTTACACAAGAATAAAGTCATCCACCGGGATCTCAAAGCTGGAAATATCTTACTGACCTTGGATGGTGGAGTAAAATTAGGTAAAATACTTTTTTACTTTAACTTCTCACTATCAGTAATACAGGCAGTAGAACCCATAATTTCTTCTTGAATTATTACATCTTCAGGTGGAAAATGCCAGATTGAAATATTATTTTCTCATATTGTTTTATAAAAATAGTGAAGGAAAAGGTGATATAAGAATTATTTAAGAATTGTTTTATAATTTTATTATATTAAATGAAAGACTATGTATAGAGAGACAAAAACACATTTATATTTTAATGCTATAAAGCATTACACACATAAATATTTTCCAATAGGGATTGATAGATTTTATCAACACACTTATGTAGCTTTCAGTGTTCATTGAAAAATAATGTTTGTAAGATTGTATTGATACATGACTGACTGGCTGGCTAGTTTATTAGGAACCTCACATGACCACTTTTTGCTGTAATGATAGCCTGAGTTTAGCCTGGCATGGACTCTGCAAGATGCCAGAAAGATCTTGTTCTGAGATGACACCTAACCTCTGTACACAGTTTAGCTATGTTCCTCAATGTATCTGCCAAAGAGATTTGCATACCACTAGCCTTGAGGTAACTCTCACCTAATTTCATGTGATTTTATGTGAATTGTGCTACTGCATGATGGTGTCATTAGGCTACAAAAGCCCTTCACCAATAATAGGGTGATACACCTATGAGCTTGCATTTTGAAATTTTTATTCTTCTCCTTTGCATTGTATTGTGCAGACATGTTTACATTTCTTGTATATATTCAATTTAGTGAGATTTGCATCGTTAAAAAAATGTTAATTTTTTTTAACATTTGTTTCAAAAGCTTTAATTTTTTATCATGAATTCTCAAATCAAAGTGATTTATACTTAGTCCTAAGTGCAGGACATGATTCGCACTTAGACCTCATTCAACATTAGGAGTCTTGTTAGATGTCATGGTTTTTGCAGCCATTATTCAACATGTTGTAGATTACGTCATGCTTTGTGGGCCTCCTACTCCTGTCCTGTCAGATGAATTTCTTCCTCCTTATTCAGGAATGATCAATTGGACTGTTCCCTTAACCTTTCTTGCTTTAGGTAGTTCTTTACCATTCGTGACTTGATGTTAACCTTCCATTTTCTGTCTGGATTTCATTCTCAAGTATATTCCTTTTCTTATATTTTGCCTGTGTTCTGTATTATTTTTCATTTTATCACTCCATGACCAAAATTTCTTGGGTTTACATTGTCTTTTCTTCTTGCTTGTTATTAGGATTTATACAGTTTCCTTTCTCTGATAGCTCTATTCTGATGCCTAAATTTCTTGTCTCTCTCTATTTAGTGACTCTTTTTATTCTGTTTGTAGCCTTTCTTCATTTTATTTACTTGATTCCCTTTCATTGGTGTCTATCTGGCCAGCTTGGGAATCGTGTACCTTACTTTCTGTTTCACTTTCCTGTTCCCTAATTTCACATTTTCATCTTTTTCTATCTACCTTACTATACTCCCTCTATTACCTTCACTTTTTTATTTGAGGCACTTCTTCCTGCTTCAGGTGGGCCTCTGTAGATACTCCTTCCCTTCTCTATTTGACTTGCACCAATTCTTTTGCTCTATCCTTCCATATTTTGTTCCTTTGCAGTCAGGACTCTTTAGGTCAGGTTACATCTTTTTCTGTACTCTTTCCATTTTGTTGTGTATTTATTATTACTGGCTCCATTTCTTTGCTCATTTGTCTGCAGTGGTTTTTCTTTCTTCCTGGTAACTTGGACTGATATTTTATGTCTTCTGTCCTCATTCTCTTCCCAGAGTTTTTTTCCTCTTGCTCGACCTTGCCTTTTACTCCTATTCCTCATCAAGATCAGATTCCAAGCCCCTCTTTTTTACTCGTCTTCTCACTTCCTTATGTCTCGTTCTTCACTTGTTTTGTTACTGTCAGTATTTCACTCTTAGGATTTTTGGGTATTCATCCTTTTTCCTGTTGTTGGTCTCACTTTCTGTCATAAGTTGTTTTTCATTTCTCCACCTTGGTCTGTCACTTTTCTTCCCATTTCCTATTCTCCTCCCTATGATCCCATCTATGATCTTTTTCACCTGGTCAATGGTTGTCTGTGATCAGTGTGTTGGACACTTTCCTCCACATCTCTCTTGGCTCATCCTCCCTTTGTTTTCTCTCTTCTGTCTGTTCTTTTTGCATCTTCTTATTCCTTGCTCCTCCCTTCAACTCCATGGCCCAGGACTGAAATTCCTTTTCACTGACTGTTTGTATCTGTCAGCTTATTTACAATGGCTACTTGGTTAGGGGGATGGGATATTATATATATTGGAATCTAAGCCCTTTCTCGCCCCCACTCAGTGTTGAACACTTTTGAACATTTTCTTCTTCTCTCAACCCAACTGGTCAATTCAAGGTCACATAGTCAGCCAAGTTGACCGAGCTCTTAGTGAGAAAGTTAACTGTCAGAACAATTAAAGCATGTGTCAAATGCTGCTTCTTTTCTATGTAATTTTGCTGTCAATACAGAATAGGATGAAACATAATTTATCAGATATGACACACACACTTTAAATCTTTCACTTTATAGAGTTTAAGCTCTAAACATCACTGAAGCTGTATTTGTCGGTAAACATCTGTAATAGATTTCGTAAATTCTGATTGAATGCTGACCACTGTTGAAGGAATTGTCAGATGAGACATAGATCCTGTTCTTATACACCTCACAGAACTACACTTTTTCTGTTTTCTCATTTGGTAGCTGCAGTTCTTACTATTTGCAGATGTTTTCTTTTTCAATTGTTTCTTTTGATAAAATTCTAGAGACTGATGTTTGAAACAGCTGGTTAAAGGAACTGTTTAGTTTGTAACACTTCTATTATGATATGTGCCACCTGTTATTGTATCCTTTTGAAAATCATTGAGTTCTAGTGAGATTAACTACAATATGATTACATCTCTACATTTATAGACGTAAGCAATCATGTAACACATCACTTGATCAATTTATTTTGAATATGCAAATAAATGAAGTTTTATGCAAATATGTTTATAGGAGGCTAATAAAGTTTGGCTAGTCATTGTGTCTTCCAGTATTATTAAGGAGATACTATATTAACAACTGTATATGTCTTCCAGCTGATTTTGGTGTTTCTGCTAAGAACCAATCAGATCTTCAAAAAAGAGACTCATTCATTGGGACGCCATATTGGTTAGTGAAACAATTTATTTAGTTTTTGAAGTATTCCATTATGCTTGTGTGAGGAAGTGTAAGTAATATTTTTCTGAACTTCTCTCACATGTGTATGAAATTCAATTTGAACATAGAATGCTGAAGATTGCTAATAAAAGTTCTGAAAAAATTCAAGATATTCTTTTTATTTATCGTAGTGTATATTTTATATAACTTCCACAGGCAGATAATGTGTTTGTGTAAAATCAATGACTATAGAAAGATTATTATATTTGGCTCATTCTCTAAACAGTTTTGAAAATTCGGGAACACGTAAACTTAAGTTTCAGAAGATTTTCAGTTAAAATGTTTTATGTTTAGTGTGTACACTCATTTTTTGGTAGTTGTGTGTGCATCCACTGTCTGATATTGTGTCTTAAAATAAGAATTATGTTTTATTAGTTGAAATGTCCACCAATATCGATAGTTTTGATGGAGATTCATTTCTCTTTAAAAATTAAAGCTGGGTTGCCATAGCATAATTTAGGTTGTTTTATTTGGTTTTTGGAATAATGAGGCTTCCCAGAAACTGTTCCTTGATTTTTTTAATGGATATATGGCAGAAACAATAAATTTAGAAAGCTTGAATATGGATGTGTAATGTTTTTTCAGGTACATCTTATAAAAAATTTTACAATAGAAAGTGATTGGTGTTGAAGAAGTTATTGCTCAATGTTTTTAACACATCCCTCAGGAGCCAAGGGGTGTTTTTACACTACAGTTTGTTGAATATTAAAAGTAAGTTCTATCTGAAAGCTCCCAAAGAGGTGGTTATAAACATATCTTTTCGAGACAACTTGAGAGAAGTTTTCATTTGTTAATTGATAAATTTTTAAGTGAAATACAGCATCCTTAAGTCTCCATACTAGCTAGTACTAAGGTCTACCCACTGGGAGTAAATTTAGTATATATCAATAAAGCCACATTCTCAGCATCATTAATTAAGCAATTGCCATCCAAATATGCTTCTGCTATCACCTTTTTATGTTTAGCTTTCAATTCAGTCATGAACGAGCTCACCTGTGATTCGGTAGGGAAAGTCAAAGCATCACGATGATCAGCAGTAGGTTGAACAGACAGGAATACTTTGAAAGCAGCTACAGGCATAATATTGTACTTGGCTTGCTGCACAATATCTATCAAAGTGGTTCTAAATGGTTCCTGAATACCCCTGCATGTCATTTGGAGACTTCCATGCTTCTTGTGCTTAGCTGTTAAGCTTGTGATGTGCTGATGAATTTCAGTCACCTTACCACTTCAAATTACTTTTTGTAGCCCCAACACTAAAAGAGTGTGAGAAATGCCTTCTTTTTTAGGCAGTAAACATGTCCAAAAAATTTCAGTTCAAATTAAGAAAAACTGAATTGGGTAGTTTTTTTTCAACAAAAATTTCCCCTACTGGCTCGTGAGGGGCCTGTTAAAAGTTTTAAATAAAATACTATATTTTGTTATTTATAAATGTAATATATTCTTACTGAGTATTAATTTTGTAATTAAACAAAGCGTTAGGAATTATTTGATTATTTATTTGAGTAATGGGGAGAAATTTATTTTTGTTACTGTAAGGCAAGCCTAAGTACACAGTTTAGACTTTGTAAACAAAGTTGATTAAACTTTTAACAATTACTTGAAAGATGATTATTTTAAACAAGATTTCAAGTTAGTATAAATGATTAAAGTATCTGGTCAATCTTGATAGTTAAACATAATGTTCATAATAGAAATAAAGAACTATGCATTATGGCTTTTGAACATTTAAATATTGATAAAAAATTTCAAGACATGTTTAGATGTCTTTGGAAAATTAACTTACATACTAGTGGTTATTGGAGTTTTATTTAAATTGAATTAATGTGACTAAGTTATTCGCATCATTTTTGGGCATGTTGTTTGTCATGCTGGTGATATGCATGCTATTCTGTGCATGAAGTAAGTTATTTTTCTTATAAACATTAAAATGCACAATTAGGCAAACTGTTTATAATAGATTTTGCACTTATTGGTGCACACCTCTTTTCCTAATTACTGAGAAAACACAAACTTTTAGTTTAGAACAATATAAATAATACATCATTGACTTAAGCTTTTTGAAAATAATGAATTATCTGTACAAATGTTAAGATAAAAACAGTATATTTTTTTCACTGTTTTAAAAATGTTTATGAATCTTTTAGTTCACTTAATCTCCTACTTCTTAACTTTATTGGTCATATTTGTATTTCCATTGAATAATGCCTGAAGCTTGACACTTATTTTAAGCCTTGTGTTTGTGTCTACATCCATCCTCTGATACTTGTGTCTACATCAGCTCTCTGATACTTGTGTCTACATCAGCTCTCTGATACTTGTGTCTACATCAGCTCTCTGATACTTGTGTCTACATCAGCTCTCTGATATTTGTGTCTACATCAGCTCTCTGATACTCTTGTGTGCATCAACTCTGATACTCTTGTGTGCATCAACTATATGATACTTGTGTCTACATCCACTCTTAGATGCTTGTGTCTACATCCACTCTTATATACTTGTGTCTACATCAACTCTGATACTTGCATTTGTGTAAGTGGATGCAGACACAAATATCAAAAAGTGGATGCAGACACAAATATCAAAGAGTTGATACAGACACAAATATCAAAAAGTTGATGCAGACACAAATATCAAAGAGTTGTTGCAGACACAAATATCAAAGAGTCGATGCAGACACAAATATCAGAGTTGATGTAGATGCAAGCAGTACTTATTGCACACATAAGTATCGGTGAGTGGGTGTAGACAAGTATACAGTTGTTTGATATTTGTGTCTGCAACAACTCTTTGATATTTGTGTCTGCAACAACTCTCTGATGGTTGTGTCTGCATTAACCCTATCCACCCGGGCATCATTTACTGCACATGTCATGAGGTTTTAGTAACTTACATTCAAAATTTTATGAAATTCCTTTTTGATTTTGTTATTACCAACTATTATTGCATAAAATCTTAGCTAATAATCCATATTTTAATCGTATACAAGTTTTACGTTCTTAACTTTATTATATTATGTATAACCAATAGAAAGCCCTGGTTTTCATCTATCAAATGATGTATTATATTACAATATTTCTCTGTTAGTACAAGCTTCATTTCTATGAAAAAGATAATGAATAGCTTGGATGAATTTGTAATGGCTCTTTTTCACATAGTTAGAAAGCAAGAAAAATTGTGATAGTTTGAGGAAATTGTCTGTTTTTTGCATTTTATTATTCTATGTTCTTGGTGCATTATTTAATTAAATAAAAATTGTTTAGTGCATTACTACCATTAGTATAAAAAAAGTAGGTTTAAGTGTCCTTGACAGTCCACAGCAAAAAAGAGAAGACTTGGGTAAGTACTTTATATTCTTGTTTTTTATGTTAATTCTTTATTTATTATTATAAAAGTAACTAAAATGTAAAAATGGAGATCTCTTTAGATTAGTTAAGGTTAGATTAGGTAAAATAAATAATAATAATATAATAAAAAATGTTTCATGAGGGCCACAACCGAGCAGCTCATGTGTAATGTAATTCGATAGTGTAATGTGAGCTCCACATTCCCCAAGTGATTTACAACTTATAATGGTACGAATAGTAGTTATACACGGGTTCAAAGGGCAATAAAACAATAAAATTTAAGTATAAATAGATGTATACTGTTACGAGTTTAAAGATAAATGAATGTAGTTTCATGTTACAATTTCAAGTCATTCTAGAAAGAAAAAATAGTAATTTTAAATTTATTTCAATATTTTTTTTGATGATTATGAGGTTGGTCAATTTGACCAACCTTGTATAGAGTTAGGGTGGAGAAAATAACAGATACAATATAAAGTTTTACTGAAAACAAACATTTGAAATGTATGTAGGAAGTTTTATAGATTATGCAAATGAAATCTGAGATTTTTGAGATGAACTCAATCTGATACTTGTATCTACACTCATTCTGATATATGTGTTTAGTCCCACTCTCAGATACTTCTGTATGCATCAACTCTGTTATATGTGTTTATGCTTATTCTTTGATACTCGTGATTAGATGTGATCCTATTCTTGAACACCAAACACGGAATTGACCATGTAAAAAGCAAATCCTGCCACTTTAAGGGTCTGACCTTGTGCTTTGGTTGCCATTTTTTTCCAAAAATGTCAAGAAAAAACTCAAGATAAAAAAATTTTAGAAATAAAAATTTGTCCAAGACTATGAAGTCATCTGCTAAACCATCGTATTTTTGCTGTGGGTGGGGCCAGTTAATGACAACCCCTATTATGACGTGTTCCTTGGTCCAGTATATCATTCTATCAAAGTTGGTTGAGATTAGTCCAAAGACCATGGAGTAGTTTATGGACAAACAAATAAACAAATTTTTTTTATAACTATAGATTTCTGCTTGCACCTGACATATGGTACTTATGTATCTTAATCTAATTAATTTAACTCATTTGGTCAATCATAACACTTCCTAAGGAAAAAAACCTTCTAAAACTTTAAATGTTCAAATGTTATTAATCTTCATTCAAGATAGCACTTCGTGTAATCTTATTGTTATTATTTAATTAGCTATTATTTTTCCTTATCAAAAATATGTTTACACATTCAAAGCTATATATTCTTATTGAAAACATTACTTCATGTAATATAATTAGTCAGTGGTGTTGATCAGTTTTTGGAATGTGTATCATAAAAATGTGTTTGCAGCACATGTTCAAATTCCTTGTCATTAGAAAAGTTTGAAATTAAAGAACAACATCAAGTAACTGACAGAAAATTTAAGTTTTTAGGATATTTGCCATTATTGAATTTGATAATTATGTATGTAGGTTATTTAAGTGCTCAAACACTAGTGACATAAATCCATGGTAAGTTTATGGACGTATGATGCTAAAATCTGTAGTTCAGTTCAGATAGTATGATTTGGCTTTGCTCTAAAACTAACAAATAGACATAAATCATTATTCTTCTTCTTCTGCAGGTTTTCAACATTTAAATTCAGTTTTAAATTCTTATCTATAGACATAAATCACATACTATATGAGATGTTTTCCGAAGTTACACATTTACTTGTTGAATTTTTGAAGGATGGCTCCAGAAGTAGTTCTTTGTGAAACACTGCGAGACATTCCATATGACTCTAAGGCAGATATTTGGAGCTTGGGAATTACACTGATAGAAATGGCCCAGATGGAACCCCCACATCATGAAGCTACTCCTATGCGTGTTCTGTTGAAGATACAAAAGTCTGATCCTCCTAAACTGGACAGGCCATCAAAATGGTAAGCATAAGTTTATTTCAAATTTAATTGATTTTTAGAATACCATTGAACTTTGTGGATAAAAATATAAAATTTGTCATCCTTGGGATATTTTTGATTTTGTCAAAGAATTTTGTACTTTGGATAATCTAGCTTAACTTTTTTAAAGTTTATACAAAAATGTGGCCATAAATGTGAAAATTTCATTTTGTTAATAAGACTGTTTCAGAAAAAGACTTACCTTGCATCATAAAACTTTCTCCCATTTTTATATATTCTAATGTAGTCTTCTCCCATAATAAAATTGTTCACATTTTATTTACAAATTCAGAGCATTCTACCAGATAAAAATGTAAAAAGCTTGTTTCATAAACTAATAAAAAATGTTTTTTGAGAGGTAATTTCAGACTTAAAATTTTAACCTTAAATGTTTGACATCTTGAAAATTTTAAGATTTACTAAAAATATGTTAGAACAATAGTTGGAGATTAGAGCTTTCAATCTTTGAAGATGAAATGTCAGTAAATTTTTTTTTTCCACATGGTGGTTGTTCAACGTTCTATTCCCTTATTTTGACTTGAATTTTCCATTTTCTGGAAAAAAGTTGGTTGTTTTATGTTTGAAATAATTGAAAAACAAATACAGAACATTATGGAGACATCAGAAAATGATTCTGTACCTCCTCTTACTTGTAACTGCAAATTGAAAGGGTTTCAAAGTGAAATAAATGCAGTCAATGTGGGTGTAACCATGACAGGATATCCATTGAAAGTAAGTTATCAAGGAAAAGAAATGAACACAAAGAAAACTAGAAAAGGAAAGAAGAAAGTTTTGTATGCTTCTACTTTGAATGCAAAAGTTAATGTTGTTTTTGACCTTGAAGATGGTTTTTCAAATGTAATAATGAAGGCCATCTTGGGCAGTTTGTTAGTTCTCGTGTTTAAATATCTAATTTTCTGCCCAAGTTTACACCAAACATAAATCGTTCCTCATGAAAATATGTGAATTTTATGCTGCTTTTGGACTTTTAAGACCCAATTCTAAATAATACAACAATCAAAATAAAAAAGTTACCTACTGGATCTGATGATATGAAAATTTATCACAATATTTGTGGAATTTTGGCCTCATTAATTCATTATTTCAGGGTTAAAGATTAATATTTTTCTTTGAAACAATAATAATTTATTCTTGCACTTAAGTTGTGGTGATGTATAAAAATTTTAAAACATAAGATTTTAAAGTAATGTGCACCAAAACTTAATCACTAGTTCTTTAAAGTAGCCTGTATGTATTTACTTAAATTTCTTATTGTATGGATAGGTCAAAGGAGTTCAATGATTTCCTAGCCACATGCTTGGTAAAAGATCCTCAACAGAGATTAAGTGCTGAAGATCTCCTGAAGGTAAGTATATGTGAAGTTTGTTATTATCTAGAATTTTATACATAAAATTTGAAATAGTTAATATGGTTATGTGCATGTTTACTTTTATCTATTAGCCCTTACATTTTAAAGCCTCATAATCTATTTTTTTATAATCTTCTGTGGCTGTATTTGTTTGAAATTATAAAAGAATAGTTGTAAAAATCTTCATATTATTAAGTTCAAGCCTGCTTCTTCTGTGCATGCCATGATGTTGTACAGCTTCATAGAGTTACATTCAAAGTGTAATTAAACAATTATATGATTAATATATGTCTATAAAATCAGCATCAGAATGTAGTTTATAAGTTAGATTTCTATATTACCTCCATTTTAACTTCTTACTTTCAAAATAAAAGTTTAAAAAATTCTCAATTTTAACAGTGATACAGTGGTATAGGAAGCAGGGGGCTTGGGCCCTTCCACTTTTCAGTTTGTCCCAGTAAAATGGATCAGAATTAGAAAATTACTCTAAGGAGGAGCAGGAGAATGCATAAAATTTAATCCAGAACCCAAAAGTTTCCATAATTGTTGCACCTATGGTGCACAATCCCTCGCTTCACATGGTCAAATAAATCCCCCCCCCCCACTTTTAGTTCATCTCCTACATCTATGTGATATGTGAGCTGTCTCAGTTCTTCCATTTGTATAACTTCAGTGGTGTAGAATGTATGTTGTCTAAGTTATATAGACACAATCTATAAATAATTCCAAGGTCCAGTGTTTCTACTTCTTAACTTCTTTGTTTAGTGAGATATCAATAAATGTTCCCAACACACACAAAAGACCTATCCATTTATCCTTAACTTTCAAGGCAGTTTTCAAAACCATGTGTTTATAACCAATAGAAAGAATTATTTTCCATTTCAAGCTTGCAACAGTTTTTTGAATTTAATGATAGTAGATGTTTGTGTGTGTCATAAGCAAAATTGATGCTTACAGCATTTAATGATTTTTTTAACCTATTTATAGGTTAGTTAGAAAGCTATTTAAGCTCTAATTGTTTCTTGACATTCTGTTTCAGTGATTTATATAATATTTTTGCATTAAAATGCATAATTGATAAGTGGAAAATGTTTTCAAAAGAATTTAGATAAAATTAACAAGGCTTAAACAGAGTGTAAATATAAATTGTTGCATTTTTTTAAAATTATTTAATTGATTTTAACTACAGTTAAGAGTGGAGAAAATAACAGATGAAATGTAAACTTCTACCTTAAAAGAACTTTTGAAATTCATTTAGGATGTCCTAGAGGTTATGCAAATGAAATATGAAAACTGTAAGATGAAAAGAAGTATTTTTATTCTTGGCATAAATGTCACCTTGCATTTAGACTAGTCAAAGTCTGAATCATACTGACTGTTAATTCACAGATAATTTTTAGTAAAAACTTGCTACTTTCTTGAAGATGAACTTAGCAAATTGAAAGTTATAGTATGTATAGTTTTATGGTTATTTGGTGGTTACAAGGTTGGCCAAAATGATCAAGCCCATACATAAGTAGGTTTAAGTACCAAATTAATTTAAGTGCATATTAAAATACATGGATTTATAGATATTTTAAAGTCAAGTCAGTAGAGCTTCTTTTAGCTCCATATTTCAGGTACTGTTTTCTCAAATAAATGTTGCTGAAATTCAGTTTCCACATGTGTGCACATCCACTCACTGATATTTATGTCTACAACTACTCTAGTGTTTGTTTACATGCCTCAAATGACCCAGTTTATAAGCTCTTATAATAAGCTGAACAGTGTTTTCAATGAATGGATAAAATGTTACTATATTAAATTTGTTTTATTGTCATTGATGTGGGTTGTAGAACTTGTATAAAGTAATTTTTCATGACGGTCAAAATTTAAACAATGTAAACTTTAGCTGTTAGCACTTAATAGTCCAGTCCACGTAAACTCAAAATTGAAATTCTAAGATTTAATTTGGAAGTTGTGATTTTTCATAAAGCAGTAAGGTTTTTTCTTTTTCTAATTTTAAAATCCTGATTTGTTTTTACATGTCATTCGGACATATAAATGAGGCTTGTTTTTTTTTGTGTGTAAGTTAAGCTAATACACAATAATTAAGTTTTAAGTTCTTAATCTCAAAAGAAAATATGTAAACAAATCTTTATCATTATCAGTCTTATTTTTTTTCTACACAAGTTTGTCAAATGTATATCTACCCATTTTAAAGAGTTACTTAAAGTGTATATTACTATTTTCTGACATATCTTGATACTAGTTACTCATTCTTTACAATAATTTCATGTGAACAGAATATTAATATTTGGTGTGGTTGTACATGTATTGTAGCATTCTAAGAAATGTTACTGTTGTGTGCAGATTTTGTTTTCACCAAGTAATTTCTTGTCATTTAATAATTTGTGTTAGCCAAATTATTAAAAGTGCTTTAATTGGTAAGGTATGTAAGCATGCATAATGAAAGACGGATATGGGAAGCATGGAAGCATATATTCCTTGACCATTTTGGTAAGTTGATGCTGACCCGTATTTAATGTATTTGATGTTTGATTTTTGTTATTTATTTTAGAACTCTTTTTGTTCTTTGCCATAATTTCTCTGATCTGTATTTTGGGAATTAGTTCTTTATATATGTAGGAGACTCCTAAATTAATAGCAAACGTTTTTTCAGTAACATTTTGTATTTTATTTGTTATATTCTATACCCTAATATTAAATTGGCTAGGTTCATCTGACTGACCTTGTAACCACCACAAATAAAAAAAAAAAGAAGCAAAATAAATATAAGTTATCCATTTTTCTTTCTAGAGTGACTGCAGAATGTAAGAGAAAATTACATTTACCTTAAAAAGTCTCCGGCTAGTAGTAAGAGTTTACATCTGTTTTTATTTAATTTTATTGTTTTGTTGCTCTTTGAATTGCTCCTATTAGGGGTACCAGAAAGAAAATTTGCTTTTTCCTTCTGCAGTAAATGATCAATAGTTGTTTACTATATTTAGAAACTATTTAATACATTTTGTTCAACTGATGTGTAAAAAAAACAAATGTTCTTCAGTTTGACCTTTCAAAATTGTGTAAGCGTTATATTCCGACAAATATGGTACATAATGCACAAGCTGCTCGTGAGCATACTTCGTGAAGAATTTTTGTTATTATTATTTTTTCGTTATATTTTCTAATTCGTACATTTTAGTTACTTTATAACAATAGATAAAGAGTACAAGGAACATAGTACTTACTTGGGTTCTCTCTCTTTCTCTTTTCTTTTTAACATTGATGAGACTTAATCCTACTTTTTTATACTGGTGCTACTATTTCACAAAATAATTTTTTATTTAATTAAATAGTGCATCTATGAACACAGAATAATAACACGTAAAAAGCAGAAAACATCATATAAGCATTATAATTTTTCTGGCTTTCTAAATATGTGATAAGGACCATTGAAATTCAGCTGAGCCAGTCAATGTGTTTCCTGCTGTAATAAAGTTTGAACTGGAAGTTAAATAAACAATTCTGGGTACAGGAAACAATGTCATATTATATGCCATTTTATATATTAATACTTTGGCATTCTATTGATTATAAATAATATGGTATTAAACATCACAAAGAACTATTGGCAATTTGTGAAAAAGAGAATGTGACAGATGGGCATGTCAAGAAGGGTCTGATTTTCTAGTTTATGACTCCATAAACAAATAAGATTGAAGTCTATAAACACATATTATAATGTGTAATTTACCTTAAATTCTGCACTTCTGGGAGGGGTGGTAAATAATTAAAGATGGGGATGATACCTAGAAAGCAAATGTCACAATTGTTATACTAGGTGAGATTGAGGACTGTTTTAAATATTTCCTTATAACTTTAAGAAGTTCAAACTTATATAATATATTAAATTTGAATTATTAGCTATGTTTTGATGCTAAGTTTATTTGTATACTATGATAATAAAGTAGTTTGATTAAATTTTGAATGTAACTCTCTAAAAAGTCATGACATGTACACTTTGACCTGCCTGTAGTGAGAGGGTTAAACTAAGGAAGAATTTGTTTATTATTTTTGTTCAAGCATAAGAATAAAATAATTTTGGAGAAACTTGTAAGTAATTACTTTATACAATTCCATAAACAATACAAATTTATTATTTTGTAGTTTATCACATATAATTATAAAGGTTAAGTTATGAGTTGACATGTCACAGAGTCACACTTTTGTTTGTTTTGTCTGTTGAGAGCTGTGAATTTTCATATTGTTTTAAAAATTGTTTTTTACATAGCACCCTTTTATAGCCAATGCAGTAGACAGAAAACCACTGATAGAACTAATCACTGAATACAAAGCTGAAGTGTTTGAAGAATTGACAGAAGATTCAGATTATTTAAGTGATGTGAGTCTGTTTAATACTTCTTTCCTGAAACCAGTACAATATTGTTAAAATTTAGATCAATGTTTTTTTATTTGGAATTGACATAACACAGTTGTATATAGATTGGGAATATCTTATTTGATCTACAAGAGATTTCAGAAAGATGAGTAGAATACGTAATAGAACTATATGATCATGATGATAGAGAACCAATTCCAGACTTTGGAGCAACAACTGGACAAATAGTACTTAAAGATGAAGTACAGAAACTCATAAACTTAATGAAAAATGGAAAGGCAACTGGACCAGATGATTTATCAGCAGAAATGTTGAAAGCATTAGATAATTACAACCTTATTATTATAATTGACTTACATAATATGATATATAACACTGGATACATACCAACCAAAATGAAACAATCTATGTTTGTTCTACTACCAAAAAATCCAAAGCACAGAACTGTACAAGAGAACAATCACTTTAATGAGTCATATCACCAAATTACTCTTGAAAGTAATACAGCCAGGAATGGCAACTAAAATAGACCCAGAACAATCTGTGAATGTGCCATAGAGGTCCAACAAAATAGTGTGTGTGTGTGTATATATATATATATATATATATATTACAGCTTTTGATAGGGTAAAACACCTAAAGATAGGAATTGATGAGAAAGATCTCCAGATTATCACAATGACGTATTGGGAACAAACAGCAGTTGTAGGAACAGAACAGGGAGAAATGCCAGAGTTTAAGATCAAGAAAGACGTAAGGCAAGGATGTGTGTTATCGTCTAGTTTGTCCAACTTATACACAGAACATATAAAGGGAGTAGTGATTAGTGGAATGAACATCAATAACACTACTAACTCTAAGTGTATCAGATCTACAAGAGTTTTAGTGAACAAAGTAAATGAAAAAAGAAAAAGACTAGATTGGAGATGAATAATAAAAAGACCAAATCAATGGTAGTAACTAAGAACCAAGAGGTACCTAGAATCATTCTAACTATAGAGAGAACACCAATTGATAAATTTTATATATTTAGGACACATGAGCACTGAAGATGGTAAGAGCAAAGTGGAAATTTAAAGAAGAATAGAAATAGCCAGGAGTGTATATAACAACATGATGAGACTAGTCAGATAATATGTGTGGTCAACCCTACTATATGGGGCTGAAATATGGATAATATCTAAAGCAGTTGCTAAAAAGAATGAGACATTTGAAATGTGAATCTATCAGAGAGTACTGAAAATATCTTGGACAAAACATAAGACAAATGAACAAGTATTAGAAGTGATGAAAGTTAAAAGAAACTATTATCAATTATCAAGAAAAGAGAATGTGAGTACTTTGGACATATAATTAGAAATGGAATACAAATACTGTTGCTAGAAGGAAAAATGAATGGGAAAAGAGGAAGAGGTAGACCAAGAAATATATGGATGGATAACATCAAATATTGGATGGGAATATCATATAGTAACTGTGTAAGAATGGTGGAAGAAGAGAACAATGGTGCTCCATGACAATCAACCTGCTTCGAGCAGATGACACATGATGATGATGATGTGTGTGCATATGCATTTCCATTTTAGTTTAGCAGGGGATTTGCCAGATTATACAATTAGTTTTCTGAAAATGCAAAGTTGATGTAAACTTAGGAGTCATTCATAATTTCATTATTGTCACAAGTGTACGAAACATACATTGGAAGGGAGGGAGTCAAGGATTTCTGTTCACTTTTTAGGAGAAAAAAGTCATTATTTATGGCCTTTTTGATTTTCATCTTTACCTGTACATTTTTATTTTAATAAGAAAATAATATAGACATAGATTTCACTAGCACAACTAGGCACCAATGTGTTACTGGACACAAACTGGCAGATGGAAGAAATATTTTCCTAATAACTGACATACTTTAATAATCACCCAGTGAATGAGAGAATGTTGATGTTAAGTATTGGAGTCTTTATGTAACCTCTTTTCACATCTAGCTTTTGTGATTCAGTGTTGCCCTCTATATGCAAACTTTTTGCTCGCTACTAGCCTTGAGGTTCCAACCTAACCTCACAATGATCATGCAAAAACCCTCAACCAATAAGAGTGCAATGTAGCTTCCTAGCACAGCTGACTCCCCTCTATATGATTGTTCAATCATCACTTCTTGATTTGGCATTTGCATACAGATGTGAGTTTCTTAAAAATTTTGATGGAAGTATCTTTAAAATTTACAGTTGTAGAAAGTTAATTTTGTATTTTGGTTTTTAAGATTTCTGCATCTGCAGACTTTGTGGCTCTTTATTTTCCAATTATGAATTCATAAGTGATGGTAACTTCTGTGTCAAGTTTTGAACATCAAGACATTGTTTATACTGGACAAACAACTACAAAATCGCCAGTTTCCTCTTTGTCTGTCAAGGAAGTGATGGCCATTTTGCAGCATGATATGGAATTTTAGATGCATCCTTGATCTTCTTCTCAGTCTGACACAGACATACCTTCTCCTGTGAATCTTTTCCAAAATTTTGAAGATTTCGACAGTCTTTTCCAGCCACCTTCCATTGCCAACTCTTCTTCCAGTGCTGTTTTATATCAACATAGACCTTCTACGTTGTTCCTTGACATTGTTTTTCAGGTAGTTACCTTCTGTCTGTCTCTTCTGTTTCATATGATTTATTGCATTCCCTTCTTTATTCAGGTCCTTCTTTGGTACATTATGTTTTTTTCCCTTTCACAAGATATCCAAGTCCATGCTGAATATTTTCTGTCTCAACTCTTCTCTGATGCGAGCATGCCTTTTTCCTTGCCTGGTGGACACTTATGCCTTAGCTTATAATTAGGCTGAAGCCTCTTTCTTTGTCTCCCAAACTCTAGAGTATCTTCTTTAGGCTTTGAGTTCAGATCCATTCTGTTTGTCTTTTACAGGCCCATTTTTCATGCATTTGCCTTACCCTCACTATCATTTTGCATTATCTTTCCTCCATTCATCTTCTTTCAGAGGCAATCCACCATTTCTCTGAGGAGTTTACGTTAAACACTCGTTCACTTCTTTTTTGTATGTTGGTGTGTTCATCTTTCTTGGCCATGTCCCTTCTTATGTTTCTGGGATTTGTTGGGGGGAGGGACTCCCTTTCTGCTCAGGTACATTTATCTACCTCTTATCTCGGATAATTTAATTTGGTTCCTTTTCTTTGCCAAGGAGTTTTTGGTGAGGTACCTGATTCTCTGAAGTAACAGATGGAGGCTGTGTTCCAGCATTTTGCCCTACCTCTCTTGTTTCCCATGTCTCCTTAGCTCTGTCTGTTTCTATTACTGTCTCCTGTCTTCCTACATTCTCTTCTCTCTCTCTGTCCCTCCATCCCATTCTTCTGTTCTTAAACTGTAGTGGCGACAATATCATCGGTGACAATCCTCTAGGTTCAGGAATGATGGGTGCTTGTGTGGCTTGATTTTTAGATCTGTGGTTTCCTTTTGCAGTAGACCATTGGGTGCTGCAAGTTCTTTCAGAGTGCTTTACCCTTTGTTTTTCTCTCCTCCTCCCATGTCTCCGGTTCCCATTCCTTTCCCTTCCCTAAGGGATCCTGTTTGTCACCAGTGTTTCTCTCCGAGGCAGTGTTAGATCTTTTGGTTTAGGATGCTATTCTCTTTGATTTTATTCCCACCTGTTTGTCATTAACAAGAAGACTGGGGATTTGTGTCCGGTCAGAGATCTTTCACATTTCAAACATTTACTTGTCCTTCTTTGATTTACCATGGGAGTTTTCTCAACTTTAGGTTGTCCTTTTCTCTCGGGCTTTAGATGATTAAGGTGAACATACCAATGCTTATCTTCACATTTTCATCTCCCCAGCATCTAAATGTCATCTTCAGTTTGTACATCAATGTTTGGTTTATCAATTCTGCACTCGTTTTTTTGGCCTGGTGTTTTTTTTTTTGTTGCATAGTGCATGCCTTTGCTCATCACTTCCACAACCTGGTGTTGCAGTTTCACCATTATTTGGATGACTAGTTTCTTTTAGCTCCATCACAACAGGCCTTTTAGGACCATACTTATCTGTCTCAACTATTGTGGGTTACCAGGCAGCTCTCTGCTACTTTCAGGTTTTCCTCTTTTCATCAAGTTTTTTTCCTCCATGGTCCTTACTGTATTTTGGTTCCTTTCACCTCCTTTATCATCCCTGGTCCTTACTATACTTTTATTCCTTTCACCTCCTTTATCTTCTCAGCCCTTCTAGTCTTCTAGACTGGGATCTTAATGTTGTTATAATGCCTTTATTTTTTTCTCCATTCGAGCCTTTGGCTTCCTGTTCCCTATGCCATCTCTCTCTCTTAAACTTATTTCCCCTCCTTTTTGCTTGTTGTCATTGACATTTTGGTGTACATGTCATTGATTCTCCTTGCATTTTATTCCATTCCTCTATTCTTTTCTATCCAGATTGTGCTTTTTTCTCCTTAAAATGTTTGTGGCACCTGAGGGTAATAGTAGATTCATATTTCTATCTTTTCTTGCCATTTCTCAAATTCATTCCCGTACAGTTCTAGATTGCCTCCTCTGTTCTGTCCATGTGGTCTGTTGTCATTTGGCCTGCACTTCTTTGTGGTTCCATTCGCTGGCTCATCGTTCCATGAAATCCTTCATCCAGTTGTGATCTTTCTTCTGTTACCCTCATTTTATGGCACCAACAGCTCATTCATTTAGCATATTCTTTGTTGAATGGGAATACACACAAGTGCTTCCAGGTGTCTTCCCATCAAATTCATAACCCTACACTTTAGCTGCTCACTTTTGTTGTCCATTGGAAAAGATTGTTTGGGCTGGCCTGTGGACAAACCCTCACATCTTTGTTGCACACTATCTACATCATGTGGCCAGTTCTTCTTTGTCAGGCTCTAGACTACCTCTGGTTGCTATTCTTTACACTTCATTCCGTCTCTGAGTGGGTAAGTTTTTCTTTTTTTTTACCCTATTTTTTGCACAGCCTTCTTACCTTATAGGATCCTGCTCAGTGGTGTTGCCTGCCAGGGTATACTTAACCAAAATCTGCACAGTCTTTCAGGCCTGATATAGCACTTACCCATGAGATGGGGTATTCCATGAGCCTACTCAAAGTATAATCACTGTGCTCATTTTCCTAAACAAGGCCTGATCCAGACTGTATTCACTCATGGACTATAAGGAGTAAAACAGGTAGGCAGTTTCTGCTCATCCTCCATGTCTAGTTTAACACCTAGTGCTGACCTGCTTTTAAAAACAGGGTTTTTGTGGTCACCTGTTGCACTGTCTTACAGCAATGTACTCCTCCAGACTCCTCATCATTCTTTTTCATCCTCCCTTTTTCTTCTAGTGGAGCATTGGGGTCCTTGTAATTTACCAGTTCTGCACTGTTGGGGTGGTTTACCATGGAGGCTGCCTCCTTAGTGTGACCAATTCCACTTTATAGAGAGTAGGTCAGTGGTGTTCTGTCTACTCCTCATCTGTACCAGAGTACACTCTTCAACCAGAAAGTATGGGAAGTGTTGCAACAATAAGCGAAAGATACAAGCACAATCCACATCCTGAGTCAGACTCTCAGAAGTGCTATACATGTAACAAGGCTAGGATGCATCACACACTATGTGATGAGTCAACTCCAGTCGAAAACCAGGCAGTATGAAAAATTTGGCTTTCATTCCATGGTAGGCAAAGGGTTCCTACCATCTTCACCACAAACCCAATGAGGTAAAACAAGAATTTAACATCCACCTTGCAACTGAATGAGGACTTATGTTGGATGGAGGAAAGCCAGCCGGAAGGGTGAATTGTACTACATTGTCTTCCACGACTGTGACCCTATACTGTTCCAAGGTATAGGGTGTCATATTTCATGGGTTCTCTTCAGGCTGTTCCTCAAGATGCATTATCTGGGTAAAATTTTGTGATGATACCTTCACTTTAATATGAGATTCTAGTTAATGTGTAAGTGAAGATTATGTATCCTATTGGAAGTGAACTTTTTCCATCACATTTCCCATCTTTTATCCTCTCTTCCAGTGCATCCTATTTTCTTGACTACTCTCAAAACAATAACTGAACAATCAGTATAGAGGGAGACAGCTACACTAGGAGGCTGTGTCCTACTCCTATTGGTGGAGGGTTGTTGCCTACTTACTTGCATGCAACAACGCAGCCATATCATGTGAGTTTAGGTGGGAGTCTCAAGGCTAGCAGCAAGTGAAAAAGTTTGCATATAGAGGACAGCTATGAATCTGGAAATCTTGATGTGAGTGGAAATGAGTATCTATCAGAAGCATTTTTGGAGTTTTTGAAAATGTTAACTTTAATTTTGCTTACCATTAAACCTCTTTTGAATTACGTTGGCTCTACACTTGGAACTACCAACTGGAGATTGTACTGCAGTTTGTTCATGGTATGCTTTTTCTTGATATTTTTGATATTATTATTCTATTATAGATTGTGTGTTCCATTTAAATTAGATTGCAAATGTTTTTTGTTTTTTCTATGAAATTGTTGTGTGTTATTTAATGTCACTAGTGTTACAAAGTTTATTTATAAATATTTTAAATTAATGAAATACAGTGCTTTAGATTGTGGTTTTACTTGTTGACTTTTGACACTTTTTGGGAGAAGGGAGAGGGTCTGAAAAAGTGTATATTTTATACACTTGTGATAATTATGTATGATCCCTTACTTTAGATGACATGCACTAATAAAGGGTAAAATGTAAGATGTAAGACAGAGTCAAGCTAGAAAACCCTATCAGACAGAGAATACTGAGTAGCTGCATCTGCTAAACCTAATAGATATCCACCCTACCTAGTTAGATAATCTTATTAAACCTGGTATCCTGCTTTCTGTAATAAGATAACTTTGTAAAACTTCTCAGTTGTACTATTTCAGTTCCAAGTTGGCTTTTAATGAAACGCTAGATAGCTTATCAGCCATTGTGATAATTTATCAGTGGAAATTGGTAACCTCTTATTGCTCATTTACGCTTCCTCTGATATTTGATTATAATTTGATTGTTTAAACAGCCTTTGATAATAAAAAACTAATATTTCTACTTTGTTTAATATCATGAACTATGTATGGTACTGTGTATATTGCTTTTAACTTGCATGTAGTATAGCCTCTTTCTTTGTTAAATATACCTGTGTTTAATCTGTTTCATGCTGGACTTATCAGCTTAGACTGAATAATGAGGTATGTGTGAAACTTCTGCATTGTTTGCTTACTAAATCTATTGTACTAGTGGTAATTGCCAATAGAGTAAAATCTATCATCAGGTGTATTTATGATTTTTTAGTGTGTTTTGTATGAAGATGATGCTGTTTGAAAAACTGTGGGTGGTATTGTAGAGAAGTTCTTATAATATTAAACAATGAAGGTCATTCTTTTATTAATGTTATTGTTATAATTTGTAGTATTGTAAGAACTCAAATAAGTATATTAACAATACCTTTTATTTGTACTTATATTATGTAAATGCACTCAAACACATTGTTTTAGATATAATTTAATATTCTCTTTAAACTTAAATGTATGTAAGTGTAAAATACATGAAAATGTTTTGTGATATATGCAAGTTGTTTTTTCATCATTTGTAAACAGTTTGTTTACAGTTTCACAGTAGAGCAGAGCATGGTATAATAAACTTCTGAAAATATCTAATCCTGGGAATTTTGTCTGGGGCTTCAACTGCCTATTTGTCTCAAGCATAAAAGAAAATTGTTTACTACCAAGAGATTCCCTGACTCCTAATCTTATTCATATTTAATATGTATACATTTTTTCCCATTACCTACAAAATTTACAAGACTATTATTTTAAATTACCTTGAACATATTTTTGTGATTTGAAGACTAGAGCCAGTTTTGTAAATATTAGTAAAGCTTTGTTTTAGGAAGTTTATTGACTGTTATATATTAAAACTATATAATAACAGTACGTAAATGCTCTTTTGTGGAGGTATTTTATTTGGTAATGGGTATGTACATATTTTCTGTATTCTACTGACTACAAAATGTTTATTCTATCTTGTGCATTTGCTTATATGGTTTGTTTGTGATATAGTTTCTTTATCTGTTTGCACAAGTAGTGTTTATGTTAAGTTGTAACTTACAAAAATACCTCTGCTTTTGAGTTTTATAGGTATCTTCTAGATCTAGTCTGTATCGAGAATCACAAATCAGTATAGACAGTGAAGCCCTTGAACTGATTTCTACATTGTCAGAAGTAGAAGAAGGATCAGAGGAAATAGTAGATACCAAGAAAGGTAGTTACATAACACCAGTGGAATTCTAATACTATTTTCCTATATCCAGTTTGTAAATTCTGTGGTATGACTTGAAACTTGGAACTTTGCGTAGGGGACTGCTCTGTTATTCTTACATAGATATTAATTTTTTTTTTAATTATTAAGGTAAATTTGAGTATAAGTTATATACCACTATTTTTATATACTTTATGATAAGTATATAGTTTTTGAAATTATTTTATTTGTGCATGACTGTTATTTGTCAGAAGGTTGTGCCATTAATCCCATGATATGAAGTACAATGATAAACTCGTACATATTTTGATTTAGGCTGTGTTCAGTTGTGCATGTTTGTAATTGAGTATTAATAACTCATTGTAGATTAACAAAAAAAAACTTATTTTTTTAGCTTCTTGTTAAATAAATAATGAATATGGAGATATAAACTTGATTGAGCTATTATTATTTGATACCAGCAATTTGCTCATGTTATGAATTTGAAACAGAGTTGCTATTAAATACTTAATGTTCTATATTACTGAATGTAAAAGTTTAATGTTGAACTTAGATACATTGGAGTAGAACATGTTTTTTACCAGAAAACTGGTAAAAAGTTGACACCTCCAGAAGCTAAACAAATGACTAAGAATTGTTTACTGATATTGAAATCAATGTTTTGAGAAGTGGTTAAAATTTTTATAGCAGAACTGTTCTTTTGCTTCAATGCTTATGTACCTATTTTTAAAAAAATGAGAATTCTAGTCAATTTGAAAATCTACTGGTTTGGAAAATAGGTTGTTTTTCCTTTATAAGTTTATCTGATCACGGTATTGTGATTATGTCACAATCATCTTTTTGGTGAACTCAGATCTTGTATGTGTTCTTTTCAATGTAGCGTATTGTTTAAATTTTTTGGTACTAGTGAATTCTGAGATGAGTATAAAAGCAAAGGTTGTAGAATAGATAATGATTTCTAAAAATTTTTTTATTAGTTAATTTGGCATAATTTGTAACTTAGGTATTTTTATGATTGCCCATTTGAAAATACATTTCCCATTAGAGAGAGAGAGATTCTTTCTCATAATGAAAGAAAAATAAAAGAACCATCGTTATGATGTTGCTATTTTATCACCTAGGAAAATTGTTTTATTGAGTATGTTCTAATGGTGAGTAAGAAGTTTTCAAAATTATATTGAAAATTGTATTTAACTGGGACAACAATATTCAGCATCTGTTTTTCAGTAACCTTGTGACCTTTAAGGTAAATACATTTTGGAAGAACACGTTTCTTTTACATAGTTCTTATGATCAGTAAATTCTGAAAAGTAAACAGTAAAGCTAGTTTAAAGTGATTATGCCTGTTATTGTGTGATCAAGTTCAAACAGATCTGTTTGTTATTTTTTATGGATTTTATAGAAAATTTTGTTGAAGAGCAACAGAATTTTGGGAAGGAACAAGAAGAAAGAAAAACCACTGATAATGTAATTGAAGATAAAGTTTCTTATGAGGAACTAGAAAAATCTAAAGATAAAAACGAGCCAATAGAACAGCTGTTTGAACAACATTCTGTCAAGTCATCAGAAGCTAATAGTACCACAGAACCGCAATATCAGTTAATAGGAGTTAGCCAAAATAAAGATACTTCTAAAGAACTGTTAGAAATAACAGTGAATCAACCATCTTTTGAGAAGAAAGATGAGGTTCCATATGCAGAAAAAAAAAATGGGGTCCCCTGGACAGAATTAATAGTGCTCAATGAACAGAAACCTGCACAGCAGGAAGTTGTTGTAGTAACTAGCAGGTAAGCTGTGTTTGCCACTGTTCTGTTTTAACAACTTCTGCAGTTTTCTCAAACTATGCAAAGTTTTAACAAGATCATAAAAACAATAAATGAATAACTAATACTAAATGTGTCACTTTTTATATATATTAACAACATTTAGCTGATCCAAGTCATGAAAAGTTTTAATGAGATTGTTCTTATTATTAGTTAATGATTATATGTCACTTTTCTTGTATAATAAGTTTTTGACAAGATTTTTATGATAGGTAACTATTAAATTTATGCATATTATAATTTGTTTTCTACTGGTCTTCAACTGCACCACTCATCAGTTTGATACAGTTTTACTTTAAAACTATTTATAAAATGAAATTCAATTGCTAATGTTTTCTAAGTAATATAATTATTCACTCTTAATCTAGAACTTGTTAGAGATGTTAGTGCTTCTTTGATACTGTGGTTTAGTGGCTGTGTCAATATCTTATAAAAATTTATAATTTATTTTCTTTACAGTGGGATTGCTGCATGTGGTAGTACTGTTACCAGTTCATTCCCAGAAGCAATTAGAGCTATTCCAGCTGATCAGGTCAAGAATGGAGAAGTAGTCATTGTGTCCAGTAAGTCTTCTACTATGTGCTTCTGTATCATAATATATGCATCTGCAGACATTATAATTTTACTTTTCACATCTGGAAATCGATATCCATGTTTTTTGTGGAGATTATGTTTTAGTTTAATAACGTACATACTTGATCATGACAGTATTTTGATGGCAAGAGATTTATACACAAGTTTCTTTCACTAGAAGCTGAGAAAAAAAAAGGTCAAAATATATTTTAAAATTGGAATATCACTCATTTTGCTAAGACTTGAGTTGTTATACAGAGCATACATGTTCACTAATTTAGTGAAATAAACATAAGGTAGTGAAGTTGATTTAGCTTTCTTAAACACAAGGAACTGGTGTATTTGTATTTACATTTCATGGAGGAAAGATTTGGTTTGTTGGATAGAAAATCGATTAAATTATTGCTACAGTTATACTGAGGAATAAAAAAATTTGACGTTATACTGGTTGTGTTTAAAACATAGCTATGGTAACTTTGAAACCTGACAAATATTGATTTTACTTCTAACTTAATATTTTGGATAATTGTTTTTGTTTGTTATTTCTAAGGTTCATCATTATATGACGATCAAACGGGTTATCAATCATTAGATGATGATGAAGAAAATGGGGAAGATTATGAACAAGAAAGTACAGCTGAAGCTATTAATCTACTCATTGATGAAGCCATCAAAGAGCAGGATGAAGATTTTGATAGGTAATATAATTATTTTTTTTATATTTGTATTGAAATCAGATTTTACAGGAATAAGGTTCTTCGGTGTTTTTCATGACAATAAATTTCAAACCAAATGTCTGAAACTTTTTTATAAGTTTGTTAACTCTATTAGCATTTTTTCCGAGATGATAGCTCACCACTTCACAGATTTAGCTATACTTCTTGAGCATCTGCCAAAGAGACTTTTATGCAACTAGTCTTGAGGCAACTCCCACCTAATTTCATGGGATTTAACATGAATTGCATAATAATGTAGCAAAACCCTCCACTAATAGGAGGGTGACACACATCCATGTGTACTAACTCCCCGTGACATATGCACTCATGTAATCTTCATTCTTCTCTGCATTGTATTGATCAGACATGTTTCAATTTCTTGTCTACATTCAACTTATTGAGATTTGCACCATTAACAAAGCTTTAATTTTTATCATGAATTCTCCATAGATGGTGACTTATACTTGTCCCCATTGGCTGAATATCTTTTTCATCAGTCAAGAATAATCTCTCTGACTATCTGATGTGCTCTGGTAATACTTTACCATTCATGAGACAGCTTAACCTTATTGCCATAGGTATCGTTTACTGAGCATGAAACAAGGTTTTAGTCTTATATTCAAAAGTTCATTAAACCACTTTTTGTTTATGTTATACCAATTAGAATAGCATAAAATTATAGCTTATAATCCATATTTCAATTCTACAAGGCAATATTAAAAAAAATCCTGAATTTCCACTAGTGTGACCCACGTGACACATTTTCTCTTAGCATGTCATCATCCCTTCTATTTTATCCATCACCTCTTGAAAATATACGAAATTAAACGTAAAATACTCTCTATAAAATTGTTATGCATCACTTGAGCATATCTTGCTCCTATTGGTTAGGAGGTGACACATGATAATTTGCATGAGAGACATGTTTGAGTATAACAATTCCAATGGGGGGGAGCGGAAGGCTTGTGGCATGCGTAAAGAAAAAGTTCACATATAGAGGGCAGCACTGGATGAGAATAGCTAATTTTGTGATAGGAGGTAAGTATCTATCGGAAATACATTTTCATTATAGAAAAATTATAACTTTGCAAGGTTTGTGGTGATCTTTCTTATGTCATAATAGATTTGTCTGCATCTTTGGTACCAGCTTATTATCATCATTTGGAGAATATTAATTGAAAAGGCATTTGGACCTTTCATTTGGAGGATGTTGTTTGAGAAGGTATCTGGACTTCCTCTCATTTGGAAGATGTTGTTTGAGAAGGTATCTGGACTTCCTCTCATTTAGAAGATGCTGCTGAGAAGGCATTTGGATCTTCTCCTTCACTCATTTGGAGGAGGATGTTTGAGAAGGCATCTGGGTCTCCTCAAATACCTTCATGTTTTTGTGTGTGTACACATGTGTTTCATATTTGTCTTGTTACCAGCATCAGTAGTATTCAGCTAGATATTTTGAAGATTTAATGGCAAATAATTGTACATTACTAAAAATATTTAAATAATACCTATACTGGCATATCTGTTAAAACAACTCTGGGAAACATTATTTTTTTGCCTCACTGGGAAACACAATAGATTCAGAATCTGTGATGAGCCCTTAATGTTCATATTATTTATGATAGTAGTATGTGTATAGAAGGAAGATGATGATGTTGTTCACACTTATCAAAGAAACCCAGCCCAGAATAGTAGGTACACACATGGGTTCTGTGTACATAGCATGTGTTGATGATAATACCTAAGTTTTGTATTCATTAAGATTTTGTTGTAGAAATTATTTTGATAAATTAACCAGAGAAACTGTTACTAACTAAACCTCTGTGCCAGATTTTTTTCATGATGTGTTAGAAAGTGGCTAGTATACATGTATAATCTGCTAAAATGAGAAAACTTAAACTTGACATTTTCTTTTCTATATTATTTGTTTTAACCCATTATACAATATATTCTGTTTGCTAATCAAGTCATTTCGGTTATATACAAACAAATCCTTAGGAAATATTTACATTATGAATGGAACATAAGCAATATCTTTTTTAATCTCTCATAAATTCATGCTGTATGTTTGTGAATTTGTGTGTTGGTGAACTCCTCTCACACGTTTGGAACTAGCAGGAACAAATTTGACAGGCACATTCAGGGTGGTCCAGGAGATGCCCTTATCTATATGGCTTAACCCTTTATTTGTATTTATTTGGGTACTAAGAGGGGTAAAAATGTCTGGAAGGTCACACTTGATGAGAATCTAGGAGTAGGTTTGTAGGGTTGCTGAATTAAAATCTAGCATTGGGGTTTGTGGCCACCTCATGATCCTCAGATTCAGGTATGGAGCTCCATATAGAAGTATACTATAGAAGTAATTGGGAATTGTGGAGGAGCTTCATTGGTACACTAGGGCCTCTGTAAATCACAAGACCATTGAGTAATGCAAGGGAGCATGTGTATTTTGTTCTAGTGGATATAAATAAATGAAAGAGCATTGTATTTGTATTTATTTTTTAAATTTAGTTAATGAGGTAAGCCTTCAAAGCATTATTAACTGCCCATACTAGAATTTCTTATATTTTCAGTATGACAGCTGAGTGTATGAACACTTTGTATGCCAAGTTTATAGTAATTGTTTGCTAGTGCAAAGTGTTTTATATGAAAAATAATGCCGATACAGTGTTTTCTGATGCAGAATTCTTGTGATTTGAGTTATAAACTTGCAGTGTAAAAAATGAAATGTTTTTGTAATAATTATTAACCCTGAGAAAATAACATTACCCTGCCCATGGACATAATTTCTGAAATCAACAATTTGTTTATATTTTTATTGTGTTCCACTTAATAATTGGTAACATTGAATTCTTTACAAATACTCTTAACCAGTTTTCATTTTGAAGCTGAAAAAATTATGTTTGGGAGAGGCTACTGTTTGAATAAGTCTTTTCTTTCAATTTGTCATTATGTGTCATCTATATGTTTTTCAGTATTACTAAAAGAATAAGTGAAAGAAAACAAGTTTATTCCTTGACAACTGTATTAAAACCACCAGAAACATGAGATAATCCTTTTCAGTCTGAGTGCATAGACGTGTCATTTAATGCACTCAGTAGTGTCCTTTCTGTTCTTAATGTATATTTACACCTTTTAACTCTCCATATAAGGTCTTGGGCATTTTGAACATACTTGTAACCATTATGTAGCCATGAAACTATACATACTATATCTTTGAATCTATATTCATGAAGTTTGGCAAGCTTTTAGTAAACATTGCAAGTCTGTTGTACATTTGTTACTAAAAATTTGTCACTGAATTTACAAAACCTGTACTTAGTGTGAGTACAAGGGGATATTCATGTTAGAATAAAAATACTTTTTCCTCATCCGATTTTCATAATCTCTAGAAGCTCCTAAATGAATATCAAAGTTATTTTTAGTTTTTTCAGTGAAACTATATTTTATCTGTTATCTTCTCTATCCTTATACTAGTTGTAGAGAAATCAACATTGTATTGTAAAATGAAAAGTTGAAATGTATAAAATATATCTAAAGTACCCTTTTCTTTTCCTTTCCTTCTAGAATGGCTGCATAATTATAACAAATAATTACACACTAGTTATTCTTACATCCAAAACTGATAGGCTTTTCAGATTTTGGGTCATTTAAAATTATTGCTTTATAGCTGTACTTGGACCCTTTTAGGGTACAACAAAACCCATTTACATTTAGTTACTTTTATAACAAGAAACTCAGTACTTACCTATGGGCTTTTGTTAGTTTTTGATCTTAAAATCTCAACAAACT